ATTTGAGTAATTCCTGCATCACATCACACTCTCCTATACTCGACATGCGCATCAGTCTACAAGGCAAAGATCAGCAGAAGAATGCATTGAGAAAAGCTGAATAAAACAGAGTATTTCCGATGTTAGATGCAGGCCAGGGACATCGGAGGAAATAAATAAAGCAAATTATTATACCAGATAGGGTAGAGCATAAATTCTATTAGTGCTGAATTCTCTATATCACTGTACTGAAGAAAGTAAAATAATATAGAAATATTTATCAGTACAGTCTGAGTCCCTCCAACATTATTACCTGTTGCCTCTAGTGTTTGCTTAAATATATTAGAGTGGTACTGTCCTGCATCATAGGGTTAGAGCCAAGTGAAAAGATGTCTTGAAGAAAGACATATAAAGTAGTCTACATGTATCAATTTAGAGAAATACAAATATTTTTGTTAGCAGCTGCACTCTCAAATGTTGTACGCTGCAGCTGTGCTCATTTACATAGCCTGTAAAAGCACTGCTAAATTTGAAAAGCTGCATGAGTGTGAAAGGTTGCAGCCAAAATCAGCCTCTAAGTGTTGTGCCCAAAAAATGCAGTTACACATAATAAAAACACATGTTCATTGCTGTAATACACATAGAACGGTGGGCCTAAGTAATGCCATATTTTTTATTTGAACTGGTGCTCAGTTTGGGCTGTAGTCTGCCAACACTGGTTGATGTTGAGCCATTCTCTTCTGATTAAATGCTGGTTTTAAAGTGTTTCAGCTCTGCCAACATACACTCTAGATTTCATCAGAACATTTTCCAAGATACAAAGGAAGCAAAAATGACCTTGTAATACTTGATGAGGATCGAACAAAAAAAAAGCAAGAAGAAATCATAACTGTTAAGAAAACAAATCTGTGTAATGAACCAGTTACAGTATAGAAAGTTTAACCTCAAGAAGATTCTTTGTGTCACTTTTTTCAGCAACATTTAGACTCCCAAAGGTTTAGTGGAATCATCACTTTCTAGCATGTGCATAGGACTAAAGTTTCTATGATTAGCCTCATATTATTTCATAGGGTCACACTAAAACACACACCAACCAGATCCCAAACCATAGGGGATCCTGTTCTGTCTTTCTAAATTGATAATTGGTATATCACAAAATTATTCATATCTTCCGCCATCTGCTAACATTTGTCTAGGATGGTGGTAGAGGACTAAAGTCAGAAAGAGGGAAAAATGATATGGTGTGGGTGTCTGTGTGTTTATGTGTGTGTGTTGTTTTTTGTACACATGCTTGTCCACATGTGTAAAGACTGAGAGTGATCGCTTCTTTCTGAAGTGTGTCATCGTGTACCATAATTACACCTGCCCTCACTATGTGTGTGCATGTGTGTTCAACTACCGCTGTGTACATGTGTGCATGCTGGTGCACACTCCTTTTAAGCTTGTAGCGTATGAGCGTCAGCCTGCTTTCAATATAGCCTCTTATTAGGTGGTGATTATCCTGCCTGCATCTGGCTTCTTTCAGCATTTGACTGGTAGTTGAGAGGCCAGGGGCACCCTGGGAAGAAAGGAGTGAAAACTTCCTGAACCCAGCTTTCACCCCCACCCCTCAACTTAAGTGTACCCCTCAACCTCTCAAATGAACCTGAGACACTGGTATTCTTTTTATAAACAAAAGAATATTCTGAATTGGGCGGAGAAATGTGTAGGTGGGTGGTGCTCAGACTATCTTTGCATTGTAGGATGCATGATGTATGTCTGTCAAGGTATTTTAGAAGTTACCTTCCAATCAAGTTCCACCTGTTCTACAATTGTAGTCACTGCATCACGTGTCTGTCCTGAAATAACCCTGGGAAACTGTTAACTCTTGCTAATGCACAGTTCACAACTAGCCCACATTTGTACTGCAATCTGGCATAAATGTAGTGCTACATTTTCTTTTGTTTGTCTTGTTAACCGTTCACACTTGTCATTGTGATGACTACAAAATGCTGTGAAAAATGTATAACTTCAGATTTAGAGACTGGACAAATGTAAAACCACAAACTAATTGGGAGGTGCATTAATATGCCTTTCCTCTAAAGCTACATATGGAAATGTCTAACTCTATTGAGGTTTTACCCTGCATTTTCCCTCAATGAATCAAAATTATTATTTGCTCAATAAAATCACCATACTCTAGACTCTGAGACAGTTGATAATTTCTACATTAGATGCTAATCCCTATCCTACGCCTTTCTATCACACAATTCCTTGTTTGCCTACTCCAACCCCTAAGCTGACATAGCATCACTGAAAGACTGTAGATTGCAATCTCATGTTCTAAAAAAATCTGTGAAGCAGACGGAGGACAAGAAAAGAGAAGGAGAAGAAGAAGGAATTGATAGTAACAGGGAGAAAGCAGTATGGCAGGATCCCGAGGGCCTGGCCGGGGGCTTTGTAGGAGCCCATACATCAGCTGTCACACGATGGGCTTCCAAAGAGCCACAACAGAGAAACACAATAGACTGGACAGATGGTCCCAAACAAACTGCAGTGGGTTTGATGCTATTAAAAGCTGTTTACCTCATGCCAGACGCCAGCAAGTGTGGTGGACGCATAGTGTGATCATTTCTGAATGACAAAAAATGTGTGTGTGTGTGTTTGACTACCAGCTTCTGGTGTTTTAATAAACCCTCTGGTGTGTTTTTAAGCCACCAAATGACCATTAATAGCTTGAGTAACATGTGTATGGGTGTGTGTGCAGGTTTCTTATGATTAAGATTCAATCAAAGACAACACGTGATGGTTAAACATAATCAGATACATGATTAATTTGCACAAAGTGGATGCAAGCCAACTCTGTAGGCCATGACGAACTTTTGGCTTAAAACCAATAACCAGACAAATATAAAAAAAATGTCTTTCTGTTTCTCCCTCCCTCCCATCCTCTCCCCTTCATCTGCTCTCCTATAGAGCGACTCTGACACCTCAGAATGATGTACTCCTTCAATGCGCTGACCTTTCTCCTTCGGACTAGCCACCCGCCCTCCTGCCCTCTTCCATGTAGATGAGACAGAGACAGATGAAGATATTTTGCAGTGTGTGGGACAGTGGGGATAGTGGGCGGGGATGTCTTGCAGTGACACAGTGAAATTAGTTTTGGTGTTGGTTGATGGCGTCCGACCCACCTTCAGATCAGCAGTCAACCAGGGAGATTAATCCAGACACAGGAGGCCTGTTGGGGAGCACACATGACAGGCAGCGAGCGAGAGGAGAGAGACAGGCAGGTAGACAGACAGATGGGGCGGATGGGTTCATGACAATGATATACCTACTGAGATTGTGTCCATATATCTAACTGGGTAACTTCCAGGTTTAACATACAGATTGTTGCACTGCTAGAGACATGAATAATGTAAAGTCGAAGATGTTTATTCACCATTTCATGTAGAAAATAGCCCAAATTTAGCATAGTAATTTAACTAAAATTCTTAACCAATTGTGTAGATTTAGTGGTGATTTGAGCCAATATAACCTTTGTAAAAGAAAATGACAAAGCCATGTCAGACATATGAGGATATCCTACAGTTTATACCCCTTTACAGTAAGTTATTTCAGTAGTTAAACTGCATATAACTTTAGAATAAATACACATTTATATCTTCATAATCTAATTCTAGTTTCACAGTCTCACTAATAGCATCAGCTGACTGTAGTAGCTGGCTGCAATATTAAAATCATGCTTCTGTTTACAACCTTATTATCTTCTCACACATTATCACTAAATGTGTAGTAAAATACCTGATTCCTGTCTGATTACCCCTCAAAACATGTGTACCTAGCTGATGCAAGGTGGAGGAATAACACTATATTACATTTTGCTTAATTTTGAAGTTTGTATCCCAATATGTAACTCACCTTGTATTTGTCAGAATTCTTCTGAAATATTTCAGGTGTTCTTTAACAAGCCTTGCAGAACCTGCTCAGTCATTGTAACACACCCCCTTATGAAAGCATCGGCTAATTGCCTGAAATGTAAAATGAGTGTCAGCAGTTGATGAATATGATCATTAGCCACGCTTGTCTTCCCTTCTTTGTTTTCTGCTATAATTGGCTCCAATTTATAATACTCCACTTTCAGCATCCGTTATGATTCTGTCTTGTTCCCTCGGTAATCTGTTCATATCAGTGCATCTCATAGGTCACATAAAGGTGGAGAAATCCTTGGATCATTGTTTTTCTATTTAACTCATGAATCTAACTGTGAATACTCAAATACCTATGTTAGTTGTTAAAAGAGTTTCGCTCTTTTCCTGCCATTCTATCTCATCTATGTTCATATTTTCAGGTATTGAATATAAGCTTGGAAATGTCTTGAATGTGAAAATTGTTCTTCAAGGCTTTAATGAAAGTTCATTTAGGCTGCTGTAGGACAAGAGGTACGACACAAAGTAGTTAAATTGCTCACACTAGCCCTTCCCTTCCGCATTGTCTGGAAATCATATTCCAACATAGTATAATTTGTGGTCTATTTCTAGATGGTGGTTCTGAAAAAAAAAATAGGAACATCGAGTTCTGCATTTAATTGATGCCATTATGAAAGTGCATGTGTGTTACAGCACATGCAAATGAACCTCTAAGACCACATCTGTCCTCTGTTGAATGTTTCTCTTGGATTGTGCCTGCATCATTATTCAGTACAAATATGAAAAATCACTCCCACAATGTTATGTTAGGATTTTTGAGAGGGAAATATTGGTGTTCTTTAATATGCATGCAATTCTGCCATGTCTCATTAACTTCAAATATTTGAATACAGTTCTTTTATATATTATTATTCATTGAAACATGACTTCAAGATGCTCACCTCTGCTCACCGAATTGTCCTTGCGTGTGTGCGTGTGTGCATGTGTGTATTCAGTTACTTTTCAGCCGAACTTTATTGGCAGAACTAAATGTCTGTGTGTGTGTGTGTGTGTGCGCGTGTGTGTGTGTGTGTGTTTGTGTGTATGTCTGTGTGTCTTTCTGTCTGTCTTCAGGTCAGCTGTCCATTCCTTGTGTTCCAGAGAGACTAGAGAGTCCCTTGAGCCAAACTTCCAAAGGCCATTATGTGCACAGAAAGGTAACTGACACACACACACACACACACACACACACACACACACACACACACACACACACACACACACACACACACACACACACACACACACACACACACACACACACACACATACACATACACACACTCTCACACAGCAGGGTGTATCAGTCACTTCAGTGGGACTTTGAGCGTTGGGTAACAGGGCTGTTCAGGGGGTCAAAGGCAGCATTTGATCTTTGACCTCAGGACAGAAACAGACTGAAGTCAGGGGCTGAGTGATAACTGTGGTGGTTAACACATTCAACAGCAGCAGGTCTGTTAATCCTCTCACCTAGTCAGTACAGAACCATTTCATTCAATCAGCTTTTTTCTTCCCTCTTGATGCTGAAGTAAATTATATACATTTATTTTTATATAAATATAGTAAGCTTTTGTACCATTAAATCATAAAATAAAATAAAAACATTTGTAAAAATAAATAAAAAAGAATTTCAGCAGTGCATTTAGTATTAAAGGTGGGGTAGGTAATTTTGGAGAAACCAGCTCGAGTGCGCTAGAATTTGAAAATACACAACCGGAAAAAATCTGCCACTTCCTTACAGAGCCCCTCCTCCAACACACACGAACGCGCACATGACCAATGAGGGCACGAGATAAGTTTGTGCACAGATGGAAGGCTGACAGGCAGGTAGGCCATCCAGTTATTTTAGCCGGGCCAGCTAAATCGGGATGTTAAGAGCATTCCATGGAATATAACAAAAAGTGTATCTCGAGCCGGTTTCTCAAACTTACCTACCCCACCTGTGGGGTATGTAATTTATTTCATAAACACTTTTTGTTATATTCCATGGAATGCTCTTAACATCCCGATAGCAATGAATATATTAAATGCTTTGACAATAAATACATAAAAAAATGTCATCTGTGGAAGCCGTGGCGCTGTAAAAAGCACGACCAATCATTTTAGCCAGCCTTCCATCTGTGCACAAACTTATCTCGTGCCCTCATTGGTCATGTGCGCTTTCATGTGTGTTGGAGGAGGGGCTCTGTAAGGAAGTCTGAAGGAAGAGGCAGATTTTTTTCTGGTTGTGTACTTTCAAATTCTAGCACACTCGAGCTGGTTTCTCCAAAATTACATACCCCACCTTTAAGTAAAACACAGTTTTCCACAATTCTTCGCTGCACAATGATTGCTCCTTCAGAGTTTTTATATTCATTTAATTCATTGGAATGTTATCAATTTAGTTAGTGAAGTGTTTGCATTTTTAGATATAATTAGTTGCTTTTTAATTGTTTCAATTATAATCATCATCAGGTAACTTTTTCCGCAACTGGGGTACTTTGTTTATGTTTTAAGTAGTTCATTTGAACTACTTACAGGGATTAGTTCTCACACTCCCTTACCAACGCTCACCAGTGCATGACTGACTGCCTCTCTATTGAAACAATTGAAGCCTCCAACTGCCTGATCCCTCTCTGCATATCCTCATCCCCCTGGTGGCCAACATTAGAACGTCATCACCACATATCTCCCTGAACAAGTTACTTTCATTGATGCTAGATCTAAAGTATTTTGTTTTCTATCTTGGTGAAATTATATGGTTTTTTTTGTTGTAAATGAAGCACTTAAACAATATTGTCTTTGTTTATTTACAAGAGAGTAAACTGAGCATCCTTTGGGCTTTAGCTTGATGCACTAAGAGCTAAAGGGCATATCAGTTATGCTGGAAGCTTTTCCAATTCATGGCTAGTTGTTTAAAGCCGGCCACAAACATCAAGTCCAGTAGGAGAAACTACTTCTCATTCAATAAATCTAATTAATAAACATGTTTTAATTCAGTTTAAAACTGCTACACCCCCTTGATAGCACATCTGGCAAATGTTTGACCCCATTAAGATCAGAAAACCAAAGAATTAACTTAATAAAGGATGATGACAGCTCATTTGGATCCAAAATAGGCTTAATCCAAACAAAACAGCAGATTTAGCTTTGACCTTTTCAGCTTTCTGCTTTTCTTGCCTCTGCCTCTTTCACCCTTGTCCAACTGCTACCACACAACAATGTCCAACTGTCCTACCTCCGAGGTGATCGAAGCTGACTCCGCTCTCCACCCAGCTTTGTTTTTCTTCGCAGCCGTTGGGTGGTCCATGTCTCCCGCTCCCTCTCTCTTTCACCCTATCTCTCTCTCTCTCTCTCACTCATTGTCAAGTTCACCGCGTCTGTTTCTCTTTGAGCGCTACGGGACCCAGGCATGCTCCGAAACTCAATACCAGAGTATACACAATTAAGTTCACACCAGAGGTTATTGGGTGGAAGTGTGGTCTCATTCCACAAAATGTGCAAGTCAGTCAAAGGATAGCAGGGTGTGAGTGTTTATGTGTGGCTGGTTAGTTGGTCAAGGTTAACTAAATTACAGGAGGTGTGGGTGTGTGTGTGTGTGTGTGTGTGTGTGTGTGTGTGTGTGTGTGTGGTGTGTGTGTGTGTGTGTGTGTGTGTGTGTGTGTGTGTGTGTGTGTGTGTGTGTGTGTGGTGTGTGTGTGTGTGTGTGTGTGTGTGTGTGTGTGTGTGTGTGTGTGTGTGTGTGTGTGTGTGTGTGACGTGGGAAATGGGCAGACATCAATTGTTTAAACTGATGATTCAATATAAAAAGAACACTTTTGAATGATGTTCTTCATCGGCTGAAATGTGACAACAATTGTTCTACTTGTATTGATGATGTCAGTTTGTATGTGTTTCAGCGCGTCGGGCTTGTCACAATATAATACCTTATCTATTTATGTAATTTATGGCATTATTGATTATAATATGTCTATTAATAAATATGCAATCAATACAATTAAAGGTAATGTTAACATTGCATTATCCGATGCAATCATTTAAAAGTTTTAAGTAGATTAATTCTGGTGTGTTTTATTAATAATGTATTTCATGATGCATCTTTACCCATATAGATAAAAATATGACATGAATGTCCTAACTTTGTTTATAAAGTGTCTACTTTATAAAGTAATTTGTCTTTCATCATTTTTAATAGATGGTCTTCAGGGATAAACATTTCAGGACATTAGAATAAAAATAACAATATAATAATAATAATAATAACATTAATAATAATAACAGAATAAAACTAAACTGTGGAATATATTTACCAGTTTATCTGTCTATTTAATCTGCACTTAAACCCTTTGGAATTGTCATTAGTGTTTTTTCAGTACTCATACTGATTTTTTGTAATTTAAATTAGACAAATGAATAGTCCATAGGTACTTTCTATCTGTTGAAGGGAACATGAAAACAATATTCTTGGTTTTGCACTCCTGGGTTCACCCCAGTTGACCTTTCCACTAGCCTGTTGAGTGTTTCAGTGTTGGACCTGTTAGCCATAGCTCCCTCTGAGCACCATTCACACGCGATAGGGAGTCCCATGACAGGCCAGCTGGAACCTTCCATCCACCCCCCAAACACACATACAGACACAAATCCTCCGTGGAACCACCACTAGCCAGCCAGCATGTCAGTCATTCAATGGCAGGGTGTGTGTATTCATGTGTGTGTGTGTGTGTGCGTGTTATTAGGATTTCCTGTTTTGGCCTGTTTGCCTCAGTTCATCCTGACCGGGGGATAGCTGGTGTCATGTCTATCAGCTATGGAACCAGCAAGACACTTAACATTTACAAAACTTTATACATTTTGAACATCAAAAATGTGTTATATACTTATCATAATTTTGCCAATATGAAAAATTATCTAAAACTGCTTTTAGGCTAGACTGGATTCAAAAGCTTTCTGCATATAAAATGTCTTCTGGAAGAAGTAAGCAGCTCTTTAAACCAAGGTGGGGCACGTTTTATTGTATTTTTTACACACTGTTGATTAAAATGTCCCCATACCACACTGGAGGGATTTCTCTGGACAAACAATAAAACACATTTCTCCACCTGTGGCCACCATTTCCATCATATCAGAGGTGGACGAAATGCAACATAGCTATTTTCCAATTTGTAGTAAAAAGCTAATAACAGTCTAATATATATTATGAGCAAATATCAGTGCATCTATAATATTTACACTTGCTGTATAGACTTTGTAGGCTTTCACGTTCCGTTTTCATTTAAAATAAAACAAAGCGCTACACACCCACACACTGTCAGACCTGTCTGTCATTGACTTTCAGATGTCAAGCACTACCACAAACACACTGATGTCTGAAATGTCATTTTACATTAAACCCATTCCTTAAACAAATGATCAAAGGACATTTGTATTATTGACAAAAACACTAATGGTAAAATACCACACTTCGTCATTCATAAAACTCTAATCTAGGGCTGTTCCCACTCTCTCACATACTGCATGCACATAAACATATGCACGATGTAAGTGATTATATCTCACACACAAACTCAGTCAGGCCCTTTCATGAGAGGTGGATATGTCTTGAGGGGAGCACCAGTCATGTTCCATTAATCCGAAGCAACCAGTGGTGATTGATCAATTAGCCCTGCTTAAAGCTGGGGCTCAGCCTGATCAATAGCACTGATCACCAGCCAAAGGTTTTTCATTAAGACCTGCTGCTCTGCTTGAGTAGACTCCATTAGCATAGACCAAATGGGCTGCAAGGAATGCCAATACTAGAGTGAAAATATACACACAAACATAAGCAGGCCGCGGGTAAAGAAGAAAGTAGTATGGAATATTGCATATAGTTTGTATCTAGTATACTCCTAGTACTAAGATGGGTTAAAAGCAGAGGCCAAATGTCACTGTGTGCTGTGTGCTCTGCATGTGTGACCATTAAAGAGGGTTTCATTCCTCCATACTCTATTCTATTCTATCAAATAAATAGAGTGTTTTAATCACAAATGTATCATTTCTTGCAGGGCTACTGTACTTAGAGCAATTGTATTCATAAATGAGGTGATATCCCTTTCCCTTGGAAAAAGTTCCAATGAATAATCTCAGACATTACACAAACACTGTGATTTTTTTTCTTCTTTTTAATTGATAACATCTTTAA